GAAAAGAGGACTGCACGAAAATATGAGATTCCTCTTTCTATTTGCTTTGGCTTGCTTGCTCATAACGTAAGTTCAGATTCAGTTTTATGATAATCATCGCATGATTGATTACATGAAATCATTTCAGAGCAGCTCTATCGCAGGACTATGCAGAAGGTAAGGTAATATCAATCTTTTGCACATCTTCATAAAAGATGATTAAGCGGATACCACCACAGTATCTTCCGAGTTTTATATATTACACTATTATCTGAATGTTTTTCCTTTATTCTGCTCTACTGTAGACTTGTAGAATTTTAATCTAAAGAAGGAGAGCAACATGGATGGATGGTATCAAACACCCCGTATTTTCTGTCATAAAACTCTTTCGCGCTCTTCGTAGCTTTCTGAACCGAGAAAAAGTTTAAAACGGACATTACACGATGCCTAAGCGAATCAAATTTTCTGCTTCTTCTTGGAATTAAACTGGATAAGTTCATCAGTTTACTATTTAACAGTCTGATTCATGCCCTCCCAAAATGTTCGTTACATTCCTAAAACCATACAATATTGAAGAAGGCAATTTTTTTCTGAAGATTTAGGTATCTCGAAGCATAATTTGTAAACATTCACAAAGCATCAGCTCCTCATTTTTCTGCTTTCCATAGCTTAATGCTCATTTGTAGCATTTATTCAACCTCGAAGTTTCACATTATGAGTGCTTTTGTACTTTAGGTAACAAATGCTATCCAAAGGGCACTTCCAACGCAGTAGAGGTAAGCTTTGTTTTTGCCAAAAGAAGACATTTCCTTTGCACAAATATTATGCTAATAATAAAAAAATCGGATTGGGATTTAAAGACAACTCAAAAATCTTTAACATTAAGGAATATCTGAAGTTGAGAGATATACTAAAATGTTTATTTTTAGGCGAACTACGAGCCTGAAAATGCGGAAGTTGGATCATACTCTCCTGAAACAAGTCAGTGTTAAACACGGTTTACAAATTTTACTGAGTTTCTAGTTAGTGATTCTAGCAGAAGGATATCGCAAAAAACTGCGTGGGCACAAGGGTGCAAGAAAGCTCCGCAGGAAGGCAAAGGCGTTGAAAAAGAAGCTCAATAAGAAGGTGAAGAAAGTTCAAAGACTCAAAAAAATGAGGAAGACCGTCAAGAAACACAAGCACTAAAAATTTTGTGGATAAATTGTTCTGTTGTATTTTCTGTTATTTTGTCCAACAAGCGCAGTTCAGTAAAAAGCAACTTTAAATATGTAAGGTGCACCGAGCAAGACAGTTATTGAACTAGAATCCTTGTTTCTCCCAGTACATGAATTTCAATAAACGTAAAATTGCGGTGTATACTTCTGCTTTAAGTTCGATCGGTCTTGGTATTGCTTTCTTCGCGTTCACATGAGTTGAATGCCAAAAGTACTTAAGCCAACGTTAGTTACTGTTGAACTAGCGATATCGAGTTAATCGTCAGATGTAATAACCGACTGAGAGAGAAGTCGGGTAGAAGTACGTTTACTAATCTTTTAAGCAGTCCAAGGCTGAAAAAAGTACAGTATATCGAGTTGAACTTGAGATAAGCGGTATTGTCGTAAGCAACGTCCGCAAAGTTCTCCATTTCCTTCAAAATACGAAGCCTTCTAAAACCATAAAAATATCTACTGTTTCTATGTAATTGTTTCTAGCATAGAAATAAAGATTATAAATAATCCTTAGAATATTTTTCGATAAACAACGCCAGTTCTATGTGTGCTCTCAAAAGTTGGCTACTTATATCTTCTATATTGAGACACTTTTCTTTGACGGAATGTTCCTTTAGCGTTGCATCAACCTCTATCGAAGGTGGATTGAGTGCGGGATTCAAGGGTAAACTCATCAATCTGGAAAGGAAGCAATACTGATAAAACTATATTCTCAACATTTCACTAAAAGGAAATTTAGAAAGCCGATGCCTGTTCGAAGCTAGCAACAGATTCTGCTGTTCAAATTCATCTCATAACGATGCGCATAAGAACATTGAAGACATAAATCAACACCAATTAACTTTAAATTTAAACTTGTAAGTAAAGGTCATCGGCACACTAAGCTTGAATATCCCATCCAGAGGGTTGTTTCTAGAAATTTCCCCCACATAGGGTTTGATTGATGCGGTTATTACAGCGCCTGCACGTATGCTTTGACTTACTGTCGTCTTTATGAGCTTGAAATGGCGCGAGATTTGTGATTTACTTTTTTCCACCAAATGCCTTGTGGACCTCTCACATTTTTCGATTCGCTCTCAGGAGCCACAAGCGGTGTCTATCCGAAGTATTCGCCAGTGAAGTTTGAAGCTACAAAAGCACCGCGGTAAGTTGTGTAAAACTTAAATTCCAAGGCGAGTTCTTCATGTGACGGCAGCTTGTAAGGGTGTCCCAAATAGATGTTGCCATTGTTCTATTCTGTGGGTAGATTTTGATTTGCTTTTTTGTTGCTTGCCTGATACAATGATTTCGCGGGGATTAAAGCACAACTTCACAAGTCCGATATTAATCCAAGTTTGAGAATAAACTTTTATTTGTGGATAACACTCAAGCGCAACAAATAACAACAAGTCAGGCAAAGGCCA